TGGGCTCGCTGCATGCTCCCAGCACAAAGACCAAGCTGCCAAAAACAGCTCTCGGTCCTAGTTAAACATTGGTAGCTGGTGGGACTGGCTTCCAATTATATGACCACTGTGACAGCCAATCACAGTAGCCACATGATCAACAATAGCATTAATAACTTTAAAGAGGATGCCAGGGCGGGAAGGGGTTAATGTAGTTAGTTCTCTTTTTTTTCCTTAAGCAAAAAACATAATAATAATAATAATAATAATAATAATAAATAATAAATAGAGTTTTACTTTGCTTGTAGCATTTTTGGGTGGGTGGTTGGGCATGCCATAACATACAAAGGAAGAGGTGAAGTGGCTAACTAAGCCTTCATCATCCTCAGTCACTCTCTGCAAACTTGCTCGCAGTCCACCACCACTATCAAAGAGCCCTATTCTGCTTCCTCCTCAACAGCCTCTCCTGCAGTTGTCCTGCCAATTGTCATGGAGGAGTCTAATAAATTATTTGAGCACAGCATGAATCACTTGCTGCAACAGGGTGCACAGCAACTAATGGGCTCCGAGATTCTGCCAGCTTTTCTCTTTCCACCTCTATCCCCCACTATGCTGCAACATCTTGCAATAGATATGATGGTATATCAAGGGGTGTCAGAAGTCTATACTATCCTTTCATAGGGAAGAGGGTCTGTTTGAGGCCACATACAGTAGGGGCAAGTGTAGACTGCAACCTTCCTCTTATCCTGCCAATCTCCTTCAGCTGTAGCACCGTACAGGCAAATTTTACAGCCCCAGCTGTGAGAGAGAAAAAATACACCCTCAGCCACCCCAATGCCCAGTGCCATAATGCCAACTTGGCCAAATTGCTGGCTTTACAACTTCTGCCTTTCCAGCTGGTGGATTCAACCCCTTTTGGGAACTTGAAGAATGTGCTGCACAGTACCAGCAGGTTTCTGCCACTTGTTTGTCCACAATGCCATCTCTATCCTTCATCATGCTGAAGGCAACGTTACCATGTTACTGGACCACACGGTCAGCAGTAAGGTCCACATGGTCACAGACACCTAGTCCAGCAAGTCTGGGTAGGGACACAATATATCATTCATGACCCAGCAACTGGGAAAGATGCAGGACAGGGCACATTGCTGACACACTGGTGCCAGAGCTGCCCCCTTCATCTTCTCCAAATTCCCCTCCTCAATTCCCTCTTATGCTGAGCAATTCTCTGATCCACCAGTCCCCCACTCAAGAGGCTATGCAATGGATCAGGCAAAAAGATGCCATAGAGTGCAGAAACTAGAATGCCTAGGGGACAGAAGCCACCCTGGGACAGAGATTTTCTCAGCTCAGTATATGCAGGATCAGAATTGGTTAATCCTGCTTGGTTAACCCTGCAGCAACGTTAGCCAGGATTGGCAGCTGCCCTCTAGCAGGGAAACTGACAAAGGTGCCTTGCCTGACATATGTGCTCAATCTGGTGGTAGTGCAGTGACCCTTGGATAAGGACCCTGGGTTACAAGATCTTCTAAGACAGGCCAGAAGAGTTTTTAGTCATTTCAAATGATCCTACATAGCCAGTGAGGGTGAACTTCAGCTGGAAATCCATCTTTCCAAAGACCGCCTAATCTGTGACATATCAACTAGGTGGAACTCGGTTCTGACCATGCTGCAGCAACTGCACATGCAGCAGATGTCCATCAATGAGTACCCGTGTGATAATGGCACAAGGAAAGGCTGAGGGGAGTTGGGATGCACTGCATTCTCACTATTTAAGGAGGCAACAAGAATGGGGAGTCATGACAATACACACATCAGCAACAATGTACCAGTTGTGTTCCTGTTGGAGCACACACTACTTGGCATCATGGACAGGGCACTCAAAGCAGAGCAGCATTAGGAAGTGGAGGACTTCTTTACATCTTAGGGCCTGCCCTATCCAGGCACTGTCATGTAATGGTACCTGTGCATTCACTACTCTGCCTGGCCTCAGTACAATCACTTTAAAGCCTAGGTTTACCTACACAATCTATGAATGAAGGATAGATGAATGATTGATAAGTTTGCCCCCTCCATTCATGGATCGTATTTCATTTACAGAAGCTGTAGTAAGGGCTTCTACAAATGAGTGAGCTGGGCGAAAAGGGCAAGCATAGTTGAGCACTCACGATGAGAGCCTGTGATAGCTACTCAGTTCTATTAACCCCCACCACACCAGGAGATTAAGGCTACAGGTGTGGGCGGAAGGCATCAGAGGATGAAGATATCTACTGAACTACAAGACATAAGCACAGGGGTACATCATACTGAAGGTGAGTAAAGTCTCTTGTGCTTGTTTTGTATTTTTTTGACGATAAACTTTGTTTTTCATTTTTAAAGTTAGATCTGCCCACCCCGTCCCTCAGAAATAGTGGCCTCTCCAAAAAGGGGGAAAAAAAATCTGTGTTGGCTTTCATTTTCCATCTTCTGCATGGGAAAAAATATTTGTAATGTGCCATCTGTTTGCTCCCTCTCTCTCTCTCACAGATAGTGAACAGTCTGAAAAGGACTAAAAAGGTGTTACTAAAAATCTGTAAAACCTGTCCTTCATCGCACCATAAAAAAAGGAAGCCAATTTTTGGGCAAATTGCAATAAGGTTACTCTCTCCCTCATAAATTGCAATCTTGGCAATGAAAGTTTCCATCTTCAGGTGCTGAAAATACAATTTTACTAGTGTAAAATGCCTGTCTACTTTATCCCTCCAAAACTGTAAACTGTCCACTCTGGTTTGTTATTTGCATTGCTAAGCTTTATGCGCTTTCTATCCTCAGTTTGCAAAAAAAAACACTAATTTTTATTTCCTGATGCTAAATGACTGCTCAATTGCTCAGAAAGTGTGGCCTGTTCAAAGAGACTTTTTTGCAGTTGTGTAAATCTGTATGCTATTTCCATCATCAGTGTCCAAAAAAAGACACAATTTTTTTTGTATGCATGCTAAATGTCTGTTTAGTTCTGCAAAAATTACTGTGCTGCAAACAAGTTGCATTTTATCCAGCAATAGTCTTCAAAATAAGACACAATTTTTTTATTGCAAGTTGCAGTCTGAATTATCTCTCTCCCTCTAAAAATTTAAGCATATCAGACAAAGCTTTAAAAAGGGTCTTTTAAAAGTTTCCATTTTTTCAGTCTTCAAACTTAGAAAATAGCTCCAATTTTTTCAAAATATGTAATATGCCTGCTCTATCCCTTTGGAATAGTGGAATGGCAAAAGGCTTCAAGAAGTCTGGATAAAAACTGGTTGATTAAAAAGTAGAAAAAAAAAGGTTAGGTCTACTATCTGAGAAAAAAAGACATTGTGATTTGTTGATCCCAGATCACGTCTGTCAGATCTCCCTCTGACATAGAAAATTAGCAAATAAGGCATACATACTGCACAGCTAATTAGTTAAGTATTTTTGTCTTTTGACTCTGAAAATGCAATATTCAAATTCATATTTTAGGAGGATCAATCCTGCTTAGTCTCTCCTTGCATTATGGTCTATTTAAAACACTTACATGGTGTGCTGCATTGTTCAATATTTCTAGCTGTTGATTGTAACAAAATAAACTGAATTTTCTTTATTTAAATAAAATATACGTCAGCTTTTCCCCTGACAAAGTGGCCAAGAACAAATGCTTGCTTAATGAGTAGTGAATCTCTACAATAGGTAGGGATCCTGTGTTTGAAATATCATATTCTAATTGTTTGTTCTTGGAAAATGGACTTCTCTCTCCCTCACAAACATAAAAAGAATGATAGCTTATCACAATCAAAATTTGTTAGACGTCAGACCTCCGCCATCACAGTAATGCATATGGTATCTCACCACCCTGTCGATCTGCAGAGTGACGTTACTTCCTTCACGCCATTTAGCCACGTCCCTAACGTTTCATCCTTACGTGTTCTGAGGGATTCTGATCATTCTTTTTATGTTTGTGAGTGAGTTTTTGATGGGAATGAACAACCAAGAAATTTTTTAAATGGGATTACGTTATGTGTGTTGCTTTGTTCTCTAATTTTGAGCTTTTAGAGTTTTAAAGTACCACTGTGGGGAAGGAAGATTTTGGATGGATCCACCTAAATGTATGATCAAATAAAAGTGCTGTTTGCCTATCAGTAATATGACAGGCATTTGCTTGTGATGAGTGTTGCATCCTGAGGGGATGTGGTTCACTGAGCACAAATGGTGATTGATCTGCTATTCTGATTAAAGGTGGAGGAGTGAAGCTGTGAGCTATTTGACCCAGAGGAAAACATCTCACTGACTGTTTGGGACATGGTGCACTTTTCATTACCAATTGGTGGAAGACTATGAACTTTTAAAACTGTGGAGTACTGCTGTGATTAATGTTATATTGATTGCTATTCATGACAATTTTCTCATTATCGTTGTCAAAATAAATGCAGCAAGAAAAAAAACAGATACACACTAAGCAGCTCACTAGCATATACTAGCATATACAATATTATTAGCAAGCCTTTTAAAATCTAGTTTCATACATACATAACTCTAGAGTCAGGGTGAGTTCTGCCATTCTGAACTCCACTCTGCTTATTGCTGTGAAGTCAAAAATGTAAAAAAAAAAACCCCTCAAAACTGTTTATTTTCCTCTACTCGTTAGCAATAACATGAATGTTAAAAGAAAATGTTGTTTTAAAACATTCTGCAAAACTGATGCAACTTCATGTGTCAATTAAAAGCTTGGCCCAAACTTTCATTCTTCAGATGTGTAATAAATATAAATGACCTTATTTGTAGAACATATTGCAGTTATTTTTTAAGGCACAATGTTGTAACAAAGGTAAATATTTTGGGAAAAGATAAATGTACCTTTTTTTCTACACATTTAACCATTAAAATTAAAATAAATATCAAAGTCTAATTACCACTGGACGCCTTTTTTAGCAGCTTAATATAAACATGGCTTCCTTTATAAAAAAGAAAAAAGTAGCAATTTTGTAATAAACACCTTAATTGAATGAAAACGGCAGTACACTTACCCTAAAGAACTCTTTGGTTGACCCTGAATCCAATGTTCCATATGCAATTTCTGTTTGTTTGGAAAGGTCTTCTGCACTTTCAATAGGTGACACCATTCGTTCCACAGTAAGAAAGGCAGCTAAGTTAGCCGTGTAAGATGAAATTATGATCAAGGTAAAGAACCACCACACACCTCCAACAATGCGACCAGATAGGGATCTAACAACAAGTATGAAATTCATGTTGAAAATGAAGAGAGTCTTAGCAGAGTAACATTATAAAATAAAAATATAAACTGGTTACAACCCTGGTTATTCTTTTGACCTTTTTGTTGCTGTCTGCTCTATTATTTACTGTAAAAATCTACAGCTTTGCAAAAGAACTCCCTTTTAGAACTAAGAAAAGGATCTGCAACAAAACTAAGGAACTGATGTGTTAATGAAGCATAATAGATAACTGAAGAATATATGAAATTGCTCAAATTATTTCTTTAAATACAAAGCAAATCATTTGATTGATTTGCTGCAGTTTTAAAAAATATTTAGTCTTGAAAAGTAGAGCTTATGTTGCTAGTATTATTATTGGTATTCTTTAACTCAATATTATAGATAAGAATGCAACTTTAGAAATAAGCAACATCTTTACTCCAGAAAATTGTTGCCTTGCCTTGGTCAGACATGATAAATCACATCTTTCACCAATAAGAAAGAGTCATTGCATATCTTACAGTACAGTACAAGATTTAACAATAATTTAGGTGTACAATTGTACTAATGTCACATACAGTACTTTTTTTCGTTCTGTTAGATGGGGTGTGAATATTCTGGTATGTACATTTCTAGCAGAGCTTATATTGTGAACAAAGTTAGCAAAAAAAGTTATTCTTGAATATATTTTTGACATTTTCTTTGTACCAACTTTGAAATGATCTATGGTGGCCAAATGCAGATGTTCAAATTATGCTTGCGACCATGTGGGAACTGTAGACACAATGGAATGTTTCTACTAACATTCCACTGCCAACTCTCTATAAGTGTAGACAGTTGTTGACAGACCTAATAGAAACAAGCCAAATGTGAACACTTGGGCCAACTGGGCAGAAGTATACATCATAATTTAAATACATCATTATTTAAATTTATCAGAAACATGCAGTATAGTTAAAAATAATGGATACCACATAAAGACATGTTCTATAAAGCATTATAACAACACTGTAAATAGATTTAATTTTTACAGCAATGCAAACCATGTCCCTGATCACCTCATTTAAAGCATTCCGTATTATCACAATAAAAATGAACTGTATTTTTCACTTAATGTAGGAAGTAGTGTTTGAACACAGAGCATCAAGCTAAGCTAGCTGCTACTAAGTTCACTATACTCGGTAGCTATTGTACAAGTTACAAACATCCAGGCCAACCAGGTGACTGTAAAATGTTCCTTGGCAAATGAAAAATGTTCTTCCTAATCAATGAATGACAATAGTAGACTACATCTAATCAACAAATCTGGTTCCTGGCCCAGTACCCAAGCAGACCCATACGCTTAGTCTTCCATTAAGAACAATCATTAGTATAAATATGGAAATTACTGCAATTGTTATTTCTACAACAATTTATATCTAAAATACCCGACCAGGTGACTAAGAAGCGTCCTTCTGAAAAACAAGTTTACTTGTGATTATCTGTAGTGGTATGAAAACAAACCAATAAACCTAATTAATCCAGCGCTCACCAAAATATATAAACCAATCACAAAAATAAAACAGCAAAATAAATAAATAAATATACCGGCTGAAAACCTGAAAAAAAAACCCCAAATATTAAAGGAATATTAAAAATCATATTGCTGCTGCAAGCATCTGACGTGTTCCTACATAAAAAAAATCTTACAATACCCAGTAAATGCTGCACAATCAAGTAAAATGTGCAATAACAATAAATAAATTAAAATATGTGATCCTATATAAATCTCATAATCACATCATCACAAAAGTATATACGGTGAATATGACATGTTTTGTTACGAACAGCGTGATTTCTTCATAGGGTAGCTATCCTATGAGGAAATCACGCTGTTAGTGATAAAATGCGCAGGGCCATGGTTACGTGACATCATTACACCAGAAGTACCAGGTCGGCCATTTTATTCACTGTACTGGGGATGGATGTCTCTCCTTAAGGTGGCAACGCATTTTGTTTTTTTTTTACAGTGATTACTCCTGTGCATGGGATCTGTGAACTTTCTTTGTGAGTATATTTATTTCTTTAAACTGATAGTCAGGAATTACTGCACTATGAGGAGTTTCTTTTATTTTTCCCCATATCTTACTGAAATATATGAGAGTCGCTAAAACCGTTGATAGAAGGCTGTGAAGAGAGTTTTTTTTAATCAAATCTAACAGTTGGTCAATGAGAGGAGGTAAGGGGCAGTATTAACCGAGATGCATTGAGGTGTTACAGCAAGTGGACACTGGGAACACATTTTTGCTTGATGAGTGGATATCACATTGGATAAGAATTAAGCACGAGAAGATTTAAAATATATATATTATTATTGTGGATTGTGAAGAATGCTTTAAATAATTTTTTGCCACTTTATGGACTTGCACTCTATTAACTAGTAACTGTATTATCATTTAGTCATATTCACTGATTGCTGTGATTCATTACTTTTTGCACTTTATGTACTTGCACTTTATGAATTTGTATATCACCAAGTCATATTCACTGTATACTTTTTTTGTGGTGATGTGAGATTTATGTAGGATCACATTTTAATTTATTTATTATTAGTGCACATTTTGTTTGGTTGTGCAGCATTAATTTGGTATTGTATGAAAACAAACCAGTCTGATGCTGGCTATTCAAGGTTGCCATAATTTGTTGGTCAATATAAGCATCAAAGGTTGTGTATTATATAGCAGTATGGGCAGACAATGGCTGAAAAGAGCAATTCTGAGCAAGTAAAAATATGCATCATTGGTACCAACTCTCTCAAAATGGTGCAATATTTCTGCTGTTCAAGAGCGAGAACAACGTGTCCAGTCTTTCCTCTGCAGAGAACACAGTTACAGTGTGCATTTATGGATAAATCATTTTGAGTCATATTTAGCTGATTTACTTGTACGTTATTTGAACTGTTCCATCCAGAATTACTGAGTGATATGAATTTGTTCCGGGCACTGATCTTTAATAACATAGTAGTAAAACATAGTAGTAAAAACCTTCGTTTGATGCAGAAAACCAAATCAACCAGTCAACAATCACCTTGCAGATACTTGAAATCTTGTGCCTCTGAAAGATGACCCCTGATTGGTTGACTTGGATTTATACACACTTCTGTTTCTATATTACATAAACAAGCAAGCCTACTATTTCACATTTCCCTGCGCTGCAACTATTACTTAAACTGTTGCCATTCGTAAAGGGAAATCAAAGAAGGGAAAATATGTGGCTATTTGTGAATTGTAGGTCTATTTGGCTTTTCCTCCTTTTTGGTGGCTTTGATGTGAATTGCCATTTACTTTCGACAAGCAGTTAAAAGATTGTGAGCAGTAGTTTCAACTTTTCTCTTTTCTCTTCCTTTAGTGCGATAGCAAAGAACACAGTGTATTTAATTATAGCTCATGCCGTTGTCATGGCAACTATAAATTAAAACATTATTCGTGTTCACTTGGCATGGAAGTGAGAAAGAGTGCACACTGCAGTAATTTTCATGCATATGTTAAATTGCGTTTACGAAGGGAGTTGAGTTTAGCATTTTAGTAAGCAATCGAAAATATTTAAAGCTGTTTATTCATTATATATACTGTATATTATTTGAATAAACAAACAAATATGACAGATACAAAAAAGTATATAACTGTGTATTTATTCTGCTACCATGAAAAACTGTAAGTATTTATACCACTGAAAAAAAAATCCTTTGCAGTTAAATCAGGATGGGCATGGTCAATAAAATGGGTGTTGCTTCACGGTGTATGGCTTGTAAAATGCTACCTTTCCCCTTTTGCCATAATTTAGACAAAATAGAGCCTAAGGAACATTGAAGAGAAAGTGAGGATTAAAAGAGCCTCATTGCTGGTGTCAGGGGCAGCAACGTTAACCTTCAGCACTGGTGTCAACGCCAACAATGATAATCCCCAGCATTTATCAGGGCCAGAAATAATTCCACGGCTAGCAAGGACAACCCCCAGAAGTAGTTCCCAGAATGCGTCAGGGCCAGCAATATATACCCCAACAATAGCCCTCAGCTTCTGACAGGGCAAGCAATGATAACCCTTAGTAAGTGTTTGGGCCAGCAATGATAAACACCAGTACAATAATGATGTACACACAGTACAATAAAAATACTCCAAGCACAATAATAACCCCCAGCAATGCAATAATGACCACCCTCAGCAATGAAATAATGACAATCCTTGGTACTTCAATAAAAGTAACTGTTAGCACTTCAATAATGATAATCCCAGTGCTGCAATAATGATAACTGCTAGCCCTGCAGTAATGATAAGCCCCAGCACTGCAATATTAATCCCAGCACTGCAAAGATTATAACCACCAGCACTGCTTTAAGCGGGGGTGCTGCGTAGTAATATATTACATGTTATACCCTAAATACAGTTGTCACATGTAACATAGGTGAACTTATCCTTTAGGAGTTTAAGGAATAAAAGCTTAACTCCAGGATAAGCAAATATAGTCTAAATACAAGAATCATGTGTATTCTTACTTGAATCTTGGTGTGCTTTGAGTATTTCTTCAAGATCTCTGCAGTAATCGGTGTGAAACTTTTCCTCTGTGCAAGGGCTTCCTATAAAAAAGACCAATCACAGCTGCTCTCTCTCCTTGAGCAGGATGACTGGTCTTTGATCTGAGAGCTATATTTGTTTTCTGTTTGCATTTGTATTTGTATATGATATAATAATCGACTGGATTTAGCATATGAATGCACTCCATCTCATAGCTACTTTTTCCTCTAATAAAACCAAATAAAAAACGCTGAATGTGATATAATTCTTTACAGTGTTGTTGTCTGTATTTTTCACTGAGAAAAAAATGATTTAGCACTTTGAGGGAAATGTGTAGTGTTTATACCTTAGGCCTGTAGATGTCGCTGTTAACAGTTGTTACATGTACAATACATTTTCTACTCTGTAAATGTCATTTCTACTTCCTGTTCCTGTTCTGATATATTAGAAGTCTGAACTTGTTAAAGTGGAGTTCCAGACACTTACCTGTCCCAGGGTCCAGTGATGTGCTCACCCGCGCCGTCCCTTCTCTGCCTCTTCTTTCCCCGGTGCCAGCATCACAACTGTGGTCACCATGCTGTGACAGCTTGCGGCTTCACAGCCGGGTGCCCACTGCGCATGTGCGAGTCGTCGTGCTGCACATTCTGATTGGGCCAGGAGTCTTTTTGAACCTGTGAAGGTTCCCAGGAGACTGCAGGAGGAAGGAGAGGGTCGAACTTCTGGCTCACCTCACCGTGGCGTACTGAGCAGGAAATGGGAGCGGGTACCTGTCAAAACCAGGTACCCGCTCCCCCCTTCCCCCCAAAAAGTGCCAAATATGGCAGTGGAGGGGGGGGGGGAGGCAAACAAGTGGAGCTTCCACTTTTGAGTGGAACTCCGCTTTAATAAAGCACTCTATAACAGGGGCGGACTGACCATTTGGAAACTCGGGCACTGCCCGAGGGCCCAGGGTCAGTAGGGGCCCCATGAGATGCCCCTGGTACCTTTTTCATGGGCTTTTTTGAGTTTGGGCAAGGACACAGGGGCCCCATGATCCCCTATTGCCTGGGGGCCCCATGAGTTGTCAGTCCACCCCTGCTCTATAACCACTCTGCCTCCCAGACTACAGGACACAGCATATTTAGGCAGGCAGCCACGTCTGCCCTCTTGTTCTGAAAATTTTTTTTGTAGTACTGTCATTCTGATCCAGTGGTTTTATACTTTCATAATCACTTATCTGCAAGATTCCAGGGTAAAGGGCTAAACCCTCCTACCCTTTACAGCCTAGAAAACTCCCATCTTAGCCTCTGTTTGATCCGCAGTTGGCTTGGTGCCATGCGTGTGATCAGTTATGAGAATAACTATTTGATAGCTTGCCAGTTCAATTGAGAGCACGGTCAACTGACATAGTTATCATTTACCCCATGCCTTAAAAAATGTTACTAAACCCATGACCCTGCATTCACTATATCTGGTCTCCCACAGTACACACAACATGGAAATGCAATTATTTTAGCAAATATAAACTACTAAATACCTTTTCTCATCAGCAGTATATAGCAGTCTTGTGACTTCTATCACTGTTCAGCTGAGCACTGGTTAAAGCATGTAGGAGAAGATTTAATTCTGCTGTGACTGTGCTATGAGGCTGTATAACCCCCGATCCTCTGTCTGGACAGTGCTGATTGGCCCTGTGCTAATCACACGCACCCTCCCAAAGAAAAAAAAACTCTCTGGCGATACGCACTAAACTGAGCATGTGTAGAGTGACTCCTAGAACTCTGTACTATCAGCAGATGGATTGGGGACAGTAGAAGAAGGGGAGGATCAGAGAAGACAGGATCAAACGGCCTTTTTACACAATGTGGAAGATTAACATATTAACCCTTCCACAGTGAGTATAACCAGCATGCTTTACTGCATATACAGATTGATTTTACTGTTGTGGGTTTAATAACACTTTAAATGTAACTGTTTTGAGCAACAGTTAAATTGATGGGTTTAATTCTGTTTTAACTTTAATTGTACTTACTAGATACTAATTCTGGGTTAACAACTTAGTGGAAGTCCTGAAAACAGACAGGACGAGCCATAAATGTTTGAAGAAGGTCAGCGATAGCAGCCTAGATATCTCTATTATATAAATCTCCTTTCAGATTTAACCTATTATTTTTATTCTCAAAACGCTATACACTATACAACATTACACAGTAGAATGTTAACCAGCTTGTTTCAAGACCTGTGCAAATTGCCTTTACAGTTTTAAAACTTACATTTGTATAAGAAACCAGATGCTCTGTTCACCTAATGCTACACATTTGTATTACTCAGGAATGCTCTTATTCAATAATTTGTTACCCACATATAAAAGTAATTAAAGACATACTTGAGTCTCACCCGCAGAAGCTGAAAAATCAACCGACAACTGGTAATGCAACAGTGCATAGTTGTAATGAGATTGTTTGTTTTTCTGTCTACACTTGAAATGACAAAATAATAACAGCTAATGTACCTACCTCCAAGATAAACCACACAACATTCCTCTTTATGGAGTCTTACCACTTGATCAGCTTTATACATGCAAAATCAGTTATTAAAGAAGTCCAGTGTGACTTGCATGGCACAGGAGCAACAAAATCATTCCAGTTGCAGCTCACCATCCTTTCATCCCATCACAGTTCATGCTGGCCATGTGGGCCTGGAACTGTAGACTGGGAATGCAGCAAAAACACGGTACCCCTCCAAGCAGGCATAAAATGATTGGAACCTTGTGCATTTCTGTAGTCTTTACATGGTGCATATACCTTTAATAAGAAAACACCCAAGTAAAGGATATATTTCAGCCCATAGTTTTAGGATCTGTTTCCAGAATACTAACATATAAAACAATTAGTGTGACCATGCGATGAGACTTTTTTTCCTCCAGTGAAGCAAATATATATTGTATATGCACCATGGCATCCACCTCAGACCAAAAATGCACAAAGTAAAAGTAAATGAATCACCAACCTTGGCGAAATATCGCATCCTTGCTGCATAAAGGCACCAAGGGAAAACCATAGACTATTAAATATCCCAAACTCATTAGATGACTCGTTACTTTGAGTTTCTCTTCCGTCTTCAAACTCCTCAGTATGCCATTCGTATGGGCTAAATCTGCTGACCAGGAATAAAACTACACTGACCCCAATGTAAGCAAACACTATGCACATCCAGATCTCATATGCTAAGGGATCGAGAAAGGAAAACACTCCTGGTTTTGACTTCTGAGGCTTCTTGATCATAATCGAGATTCCCAAGCTCATGAAAGGTTTGGAGAAGTCAATTACTTCTTCTCTCACCAGTGTAATTGTTAATGGAGCTATTGCAATATCCGCTTTCTGTAAAACAAAGAATATACAATCAGAAATTATATTTTTTTTAGTTACAAGTGAGGAACTAAAACTGACCTTTTATCTGACCATTTTAAATTATGCTATAACATGATTCAGGAAAATCATTAGCAATGTTCATATTTAAAACATTTTATTCCATAACAGTTTTATAATCTTGTTTATCAAGACAGCAGCAAGGACATAGTTCATTGGAAATCGGGTGCAATAAAAACCATTGATGAAAATTAAGCAGGGCACCAAACAATTATCATCTAAACTTAGGTCACCTGATCCCGCTGTCCTACTTCCCATGGGAGAGGTTGTAGCCTAGGAGAAATATCTGAGCCTGCTGAGGCTTAAGTTGGTATCAAATGGAGTAGTTATATAACACTTGTATGACACTGGATTGAAATGTGCTTTGCAAAATAGGCATGAAACAAGCATGTGCTACGCTATTAATTAGAGAAGCAGAGATATTTAGAATTAGGGTGGCAGCAAGAGGCGGAAAGGCACCAATGTCACTGAAAGGTCCTTACTCCAGTGCAATGTTTCAATGGCTTTTTATTGCAACATTACAGCAATATCTTAGCTAAGTCATTATACAGACTGAAACTGGAATACAGTGTTTTATGCACTAGGAATGGTCGCTGCAGAGCAATACTGTAAAGGGTAAAGCATTTTTAAAAAAAGTAAAAAATGCCTTTTCTTCCACTTCATGTACAAAGGAAATAACATATAATGATGACACGTAGGTGTTGGAGACCGTGCTGGACTGACTAAATGTGTTGCTAGTCCAGGGTGTGTGGTTATGTGGGTGAACTGGCTTCCTTCAGGCAGGAATGTGTCCGATGGTGGAGATAGGTCATAAACCTTCTTGGGTCTTGGGCAGCTGCCTTTTTGGTACGACCTTAAGGTTGTTTCCACATGTAAAAATGAGAGAATATGAGGAAAGGAGGAGCTAGTTAGGAATTCAAGAATTGTTATTTATAGTAGCAACAAGTGCATCAAGCTGACACATTTTGGGAGAAAGGATTTTCCCTTCTTCAGGGCTGTTACTGCATGCTAGCTGACTGGGAGTAAATCCCAGGCCAAATGTGTATTCATGAGGTTTTCCAAAGTCAGACTGGTGGAGTAACAGCTGTGGTTGCAGGGGCTTGATGCACCCGGAAAATGATTGGCCCCTGATGAAGTCACGTGACCCTGTGACGCAACGCGTAGGGGAGGGGCTCTAACGTCACGACGTTGCATCGGAGAGGCTCGGCGATTCCAGCAGAGGCAGACAGAAAGGCAGAGTGAACTACTAGCTCTGCATATCTGTACCAGATAAGTGCCTCAAACTGCTGTATCACCGCATCTGGTAGCAATAAACTACTCTTACCTAAAAGGATAAGGCACCATGGTCTTTTTTTCTCCATCTGATTTATATATCCAATACTGAGGAAAGGTGGATATGAGGGGGAGGTGTCCCCAGGAGGGGAAATAGGAGATACTCACACATTTTCCAAATGTCTGTCTATGAGAGGCTACGTGTATGAATTAAGAGGAGATCATAGGAGGATCTGAGCAGGCCTTCACATCTATCTGGAATATTTTATAGAGGAGCATTATCCCACCAGTCCTGGAAGGACTAAAAGTCTATTTGCCTAAATTTATTTGGGCAAATATTAAGGTGAGCGCATATTGAGACTACACGGCACCTGGAAAGAGGGATTAAGGAGTTCACCTGCACATTGCACATTGCACAAAGTTATATAAAATACTTTTTAATTTATTTATGCACTATATGAATTACATCCGCATATTTATTATGGCATTGATATTATTGATTGAGCACAAATGGAATGTTTTAGCACAATAATGGTTTGATTTATATACATTTATTAATATGTCACACTAATTAATTAATTGATTTTTTAATTATTTATTAGTTTATTTATTTTATTTATTATTATTAGTCACACACAATATATGATTAAGTATTTATAGTAGGAGCGCGGCATTATAAGTATATTTAATTGATCAAAACATTATCTTGTTTCTGCTGGACTGACAGGACCAGTCACTGGAACGTAGGTGGGTGGTTGTGTGGGTGGGTATGGAGATGTCCCTCCAGTTGGTTGTGCCCAATGGTGGATACTGGCGGTAAACAGTCTTAGAGTTTGGGCTGCTGCCTTTCTGGTACCAACCAAAACATTAAACTGCCTTTAGTGTAACAAACGGAGTCCTTCAGTTCTAATATTCCAATTGGACTAGCTTCTTGTAGTATCCCTGTTGCTGTAAACAATTGTGTGCCGGTATATACTTTAAACATTGGGATGTGAATATGCTTCTATTTGTCATTTCTAAATAAAAAATGTATCAATGATTCTGATTGGTTGCTATAAGCATCAGGCAGAGTTCTTGCCTGCACATTTTCATAAATACGCCTCAAGATACAACATGGCATCCTTCACTCATTACAACTTTTTTTTTTTTTTTACATAAAGCAATTGTTTCCTGGACAGATTTATGGAAACTAAAATGATATGTCAAGCACATCAATCCTTCAATAAATACCACTGTTCATTTGTTTCAGACTGTAATAACGTCATATTTCAAGGTGAAAGAGGTGAAAGAAATATCATGAATCATGTCCGAAAAAGAAAAAGGAAATAGCTTTGTGGTTTGTGAGTAATTTTGAAGCTCGACTGCAGGAAAATGTTTCAACATCTCCCCAGGTGTGATGTGAAGTACTGTTATCACAAAACTTAAACATGAAATGTGATTCTTTTGTTACTGTCTCAAGAAGATACCCCAATGGCACAGCTATATAATAAGCAGTTATGTTGTGCCATCAGATAGCTTCAGCTAGCCATGTAACTTAAATAAGATAGATCAGTCATATGTTCACGTAATTCACACTATATCTACCTTAAGAAGTTACATTTATCAAATAATGCTTAAACCAAAATAATGGATGCACCCTTATAATTTTAAGCATGATAATTTTTTAATCATTTTTTCATAATTAGTGAGGGAGTTTCAGACATGAACATGAAATATTGGTATTAGCAAACAATATGGTGATCAATGTTTTTGTTCTTTGGTGTTAGTCATTAACATTCTTCAATAACAAGGTATACTGTACTTACCCCATAAACTAATTCCCCCACCATTCCATTCCATATTTTTGTTTCTGCATCTCTTGCTCCATATTTTCCATCAGCCACTATTGTCAGCTTGTACTTAAATCCGCAGTGCCTGGCAATCTCAGTTGCCAGATCAACACAATATCCTTCATAGCGATCATTTCCTTCGAACTGATCTGCATTTTTCTTAAACATCACATATGGGGCTTCCTGGAAATATCACAATCATTATTTACAAGATCTGAACATTTTCTTTAATACCAATTGATGGTGTAAAACTATCATTTGTATGCAACCTGATGACTGGCAGGATAAACCACACAATCTTATTTTCAGATAGATTTGATATATAAATGGCCTTTTTACTGCAGCCCAACATAAAAAGAGGAAAATGTGTAGAGTACAGTCACCTTGTCTGTACAACCATCATAGGCCATGGCCTAATTTGGCAGGACCATCAGAGTGGCATCCGGTGCACCTGACAATTAGTGATGTATTCCCATGTACAATAAGAAAACCTCCAGCTTGCTACTCTGCCATCTGGTTTTTGGCTTTATTGTTGTTAACCTAACATTACCTGTGTAGCTACCTTACTGATATTTTGTTTTCTAGTCTCAGTGTGGGACTGAGGAAAGGGGAATAAATGCTGTTAGAGATTCATTCTAATTTTATCATAGAACATGACCCTTTGCTTTGTCTATGCAAGACAAGTTAATAGAGTCAATTAAATTTTCCCCTCTACACTCAGCTTTGCTTGCTTCAACAATAAGACAGAGAAAAACCCTGTGTAATGTCCAATCAGTCTTAAAGGAGCTTGTTCAGAGCTAAGGACTCCTTCCCAGGTTCCGGGTGACAATGTTGGGCGAGTCATGAATCATCGAGCACTGTTGCATTGAATATAATGAGTAAAATGTTCACACATATACATAACGTTTGGGTATTTATCTTTGATTTTAGAGTGGTGCAATACTAAGTAAAGGTGAGCATATCTTCTTCTGGGAAGTTGGGGAGCAGGACATGAGCATAACAGAGGAAAAATAAATGCCTAAATCTGCTATGATGCCGGTAGAGCAGATGAAGATGAAATGCTTAACTTTCTTTTTACAGTCATTTATCAAAGTGTTTGGTGTAGCAACAGTCTCAGCCAGTCAGATTCACTATTTAATTTTTCTGTATGAGAGAATGAAAACATTATTGTCTGCTCTGGGCAATACACAGAACAATTTTATAAATTAGACCCTATGTAACAGTTAAAGACATTTTACAATACCAATAATCACTTAAGTACAGAAATAGAAAAGCTATCTAAGAACAATATTAATTACTGTGAGTAAAGACCTATAAAACATACTATAGATTGCTTGTTATCCCACAATATTCCCACATAAAGAGTGGACAGCTGAATGAACAGAAAAGGAATGCTAAGGCAAATGTTTTTTAAATGAGTGCCTGTAGGTTTCTACAGGAAAGATCTACAGCAGATAATCAAATTCCAACTGTCAATCTTTCCATGCTGGTTAGATTTTAGCCAGCTGGTTGCTATGAATAAAATTACTATTTATAACGCTATATTACTTATAAAACTATTTTGTCATAAATAGATTATACTCCTGGTGGTGCACTGTAAAGTAGTCAGACATGCTTAAAACATCACCCCCTCAAATATAACACAATACACTTTAATACCGCCTAGCTAAAGGTGTGGTGAGTCTGCTTATTCCTATTGCACACTTCTGTGAGTTTTCTTTGTAAGGTTCCATTCTAAGCACTTTTAGTTTTACTTTCCCTCCACACAGTAAAAAAAAGCCTGAGAAAGACTGGATATACTTTGAATAAAGCTTTAAAAATCTCCAAGGTTTAGGTATAGCGGTAACATCACCTTGTGGGCTCTATACTCCTTCACTGTAGGACAGGCAGCATGCAACTACAACTTACCTCTTGAAAAGTCTGCCCTATCTTGGTTCTGGGGATATGGAACTAATTCTGGCAGTCACCTCACTACCCTGGAAACTGCATGAGCTTGACCCTCAAAAAATTCAGTTACACCTTTTTTCCTAGACAAAGGGAGCCATGAAAAGAGATAGTGCTGCACTTAAGTTCACAGTGAGTTAGGTTCTAAATACCCTACTGATAAGTTAAAACCTTACTATTTAAAGCAGCTTGGGTATGTTGAGCGATTAGAAATATAGAAACATAGAAAAGTGATGACAGAAAAAGACAGACTGGTCTATCGAGTCCACCCATTTTTAAATTTTTGAAGATATAGAGTATAGATCTATACTTGTCCCAAGCATATCTGAAACTATTTACTGTTGACTGGCTCACTACCTCTCCTGGAAGTTTATTGCAAGCATCAACTACACTCTTTCAGTAAAATAATACTTTCTGAGATTAGTTTTGACCTTTCCTCCAGTTAGTTTAAGGTCATGTCCCCATGATCTTGATTTTGGTTTTGTGTTGAAAATACTGTCCTCTTGAACCTTATTCACCCCCTTGATGCACACTGCTCAAAAAAATTAAAGGAACACTTTGAAAACACATCAGATCTCAATGCGGAAAAATATCATGCCAGATATCTATACTGAAATGGACTGGGTAATGTGTTAGGAACGTAAGGATGCCCCATCGTTTGATGGAAATTAAAATTATCAACCTACAGAGGACTAAATTTAAAGGCACCCCGAAAATCAAAGTGAAAAAATTATGCAGTAGGCTAGTCCATTTTGACAACATTTCAGTTTAGCAACTCAAAATGGTACTCAGTAGTTTGTATGGCCCCCATGTGCTTTTATGCATGCCTAATGTCAGGGCATGTTCCTAATGAGATGACAGATGGTGTCTTGGGGGTATTTCCTCCCAGATCTGGACCAGGGCATCACTGAGCTCCTGGATAGTCAGAGGTGCAACCTGGTGGTGTCGGTTGAACTGAAACATGATATCCCATTGGATATCATATTTCTATTGGATTTCCTATTGGATTTAGGTCAGGCAAGTGTGGGGGCCATTCAACTGTATCAATTCCTTCATCCTCCAGGAACTGCCTGCATACTCTCGCCACATGAGGCCAGGCATTGTCACACACCAGGAGGAACTCAGGTCTCACTGCACCAGTGTAGGGTCTGACAATGGATCCAAGGATTTCATCCCGATGCCTAATGCCAGTCAGGGTGCCATTGTCTAGCCTGTAAAAATCTGTGCATCCCTCCATGGATATGCCTCCCCAGACCATCACTGACCCACCACCAAAACGGTCATGCTGAATGATGTTAAATGCAGCATAACGTTCTCCACAGCTTCTTCAAACCCTTTCACGTCTGTCACATGTGCTCAGTGTGAACCTGCTCTCATCGGTGAAAAGCACAGGGTGCCAGTGGCAGACCTGCCAATTCTGGTGTTCAATGGCAAATGCCAATCGAGCTCTATGGTGCCGGACAGTGAGCACAGGGCCCACTAGAGGATGCCAGGCCCTCAGGCCACCCTGATGAAGTCTATTTATGATTGTTTGGTCAGAGACAATCACACCAGTGAGCATGTGGTTTGAAGCTGTTAGACACTGAAGATTTATGAGAGTGCATTTTTACTGTATTTGGATCTTTTGATGAATAAAACATATTGCACTATGGGAGATTGTGTTTATGTTTGAGATACTGGCACATACCCATACCTTATTTGGAGAGGAGCCACTACCTGAGTGCTGACCCCCCTGAGAGGGAGATCTGTGTGCGGGGAGAGCAGACCAGTGGAGAGGCTGTATACTAGAAAGATCTGAGGGTGTGATCCCACAATACGCTGTGACCCTCACGGGTCGAAATCTGGAGGTGAGGGGCTAATCTAGCCGTTGGTTGGATTTTTTACCAGCAGTTACCCCACTTTTATCAGCATGAGTGTTGGATTTGAAGTAGTGGTATCATCCACTTATTGGACTTTGGAGCACAGATCAGACTTTTCAGTTTCATCTAATTAGTGTGTTGTTTGCACAAGGATTTGCACATTTTGTCACACATTTTTTATATTTAATTTTTTATTTTTTGTTTGATGTACGTATATTGCACATATTGAGATTTTCATATATATTATACTTATTTATGGTATATATCCTCTGTTATATATTGTGGCACTAGTGTATGGCTTGTATTTTCATTTAAATGCACTAGTCCTATGCATGGTTTTATATATTTTATATTTAGTTTATAGTGGTATTGATGTATCACTTTTCTCACTGGATCATTATTCACCTCCACGTTTGAGTTCAGTTGTAGAACACTATTATTTGATGTAGTGTATCTTAGTGTCACATTGCATGGTGGCATTTATATATTGTTTTATAGGTATGTCACGTTTTATCGTGGCACTTTTTTTGTGTTATTTTTATTTAGTTTGTGTCATTTATTTCACACAGTATGTCTATTGGTATGTATAAACATAAGGGTACATGGATTGGTAATATATAGGAGTAGCACTACATTGATTTATTGACTTAACACCCTGATGAAGTATGTTTATGATTGTTTGGTCAGAGACATTCACACCAGTGACCTGCTGGAGCTCATTTTGTAGGGCTCTGGCAGTGCTCATCCTTTTCCTTCTTGCACAAAGGAGCAGATACCAGTCCTGCTGATGGGTTAAGGACCTTCTATGGCCCTGTCCAGCTCTACTAGAGTAACTGCCTGTCTCCTGGAATCTCCTCCATGCTCTTGAGACTGTGCTGGGAGACACAGCAAACCTTCTGGCAATGGCATGTATTGATGTGCCATCCTGAAGGAGTTGGACTGCCTGTGCAACCTCTGTAGGGTCAAGGTATCTCCTCATGCTACCAGTAGTGACACTGACCCTAGCCAAATGAAAACCTAGCGAAAAACAGTCAGTGGCCTCCACCTGTAAAACCATTCCTGTTTTGGGGTTCATCTCATTTTCGCCCATCTAGAGCAGCTGTTGATAATTTCATTAACACGAATGCAGCTGAAGCTGATTAACAACCCCCTCTGCTACTTAACTGACCAGGTCAATATCCCAGGAGTTTAATTAACTTGATGGAACACTCTGATTAAAAAGTGTTCCTTTAATTTTTTGGAGCAGTGCATTTAAAGGTTTCAATCATGTCTCCCCTTTCCCTTCTTTCCTCCAGACTGTACATTTTAAGTTCCTGAAGTCCCTCTTGATCATTTTTATCCCCCAGACCTTTCACCACTATTGTTACCCATCTCTGCACT